GCGAGACGGTGCAGCTGCTGGGCGGGCCGGGCAGCGAGGAAGGGGCGCCCCACGGGAACCACGCCGCCTTCCAGGCTGACGTGTCCGAGGCCAGGGCCGTCAGGAGCCTGCTGGAGCAAGTGCAGGTGAACGCCAGCGACACTGCCCCATTGGCTTTGGCTCTTTGTGGTGTTTTCCTGTGTAACCTCCCCCTCCCGCAGGCCTGCTTCTCTCGCCCGCCATCTGTCGTTGTGTCCTGTGCGGGCATCAACCAGGATGAGTTCCTGCTCCACATGTCTGAGGATGACTGGGACAAAGTCATAGCTGTCAACCTCAAGGTGGTGACCCCTGAGCCTGTAGCTTCTGCCCCCAGCCTCAGGGCAGGAGTTGGAGGAGGGCTGTCACTGGGCTGATCGTTTCCACCTTGTCACCCTCTCCGGCCAGGGCACCTTCCTAGTCACTCAGGCTGCAGCCCAGGCCTTGGTGTCCAGTGGTAGCCATGGCTCCATCATCAACATCAGCAGCATCGTTGGGAAGGTCAGCTGAGCAGGGTTGAGGTCAGCCCGGGGCACAGAGAGCCCCTTCTTGAGACTCCACTCACCTGAGATCTCTGGCGCACCTACAGGTGGGGAACATGGGGCAGACAAACTACGCAGCATCCAAAGCTGGCGTGATTGGGCTGACCCAGACCACAGCCCTGGAGCTTGGACGGTGGGTCGGACACCAGGGCCTCAGGGGGACCTCACAGAGGCATGAAGGGCCCTGAGGGAGGGGTCAGTGTCCTCCCCAGAGTCAGCAGCCACTCTCCCTTCCACAGACACGGGATCCGCTGTAACTCTGTCCTCCCAGGGTTCATGGTCACACCTATGACTCAGACAATCCCACAGAAAGTAAAGGACAAGGTAGGAGGCTGTGGGTAGAGGCAGAATAGCAATTTCTCTGGGCTTGAGCTGGGCACAGTGCGTGGTAAGCAGATGTTGATAAATGTCTGAAGGATAAAGACAAAAGGAGAAAAGCACAGCTTTCAAAAACAATGGATTAAAAAAAAACACATATGAGTGTTTCCTTACAGGTGACCGGAATGATCCCGATGGGACACATGGGGACCCCTGAGGGTGAGCACTGAGTGGGCAGGTGGTCCTGAGGAGGGCCTGAGTGAGGAGATCCCAAGTGTTGTGGCATCTCTTGAGAGTCGCTCCAAGCCTGGGGTGGCTGCTCCGGGACCACGGCAGTGAGTGGGACTCTGCCCATCATTTCCTTAGATGTGGCAGGGGTGGTTGCATTCTTGGCATCTGAAGACAGTGGATACATCACGGGGGCCTCAGTGGAAGTCACGGGTATGAGGCCCACGTGGGGAGGCAGAGGGTGGAGAAGTGGAACCCAGACCAGATGGGGAAGCGAGCAAGGGGAGCCTGGAGCCACTGGGAAGGGCGGAGGGTCCCAAGGCTGGGACAGAAGTGGGTACCCCCGGCCCATTTCTCTCTCCACCCACGCATCTGCCCCAATGTTCCTGCCCCTCCCAGGAGGTCTTTTCATGTAACAGCCTCAAGGACCCTGGACTCTGCTCTCTCCCCCACCACTCTGCCTGGCCTCCTGCTGATGAGGACTCTAAGTTCCCAGGCTACAAAAGGGGTGGCAGCGTATGGCTCAAGAATGCTGAATATGGGAGGCAGGGGTGCTTGTGACCCTAATAAATTCCAAATCCTCTTCCCTGCCACCTCCGGTTCTTCTTGTGTCCAAGCCCTCAGACCCTTCCCCACTCCCCCTTTCCCTTTCCCTAAGGATTGTTCCCTTTCACTGCCTGGTCTCCCAGGGCAACCCCCGCCGCCGGGTGTGAGAGGAAAGAGTGTATGTCACTGTGTATGCGTGACACTCTGGGTCTCTCTGGAGGGAGGGTTTCTGCCCCACCCCTGTCACTGGTTCCAAGGCCAGTCCCCACCGCCCCCAGCCTGGGTCCTGATGGTTCCCCAGGGGTGGTTTGTTCTTGGCCCCATCCTGGTGTCCAGTCTGGCCTTGGAAGGGGGTCTTGGAACAGGTGGCCCTCCCCCATCCTCTTTCTCTCAGTCCCCCCTCCCCTCTCTCCACCTTACAATAGCCGCAGCCGGCCTGGGGTCGGATGGGGGGGATTAAGGGAGGGGGCCAGGATTAGGGGCATGGACCAGCCATGAAAGGGGCTGGAGGAGAGCAGAAGGGAGGGGGTTGGGAGGAGGAGGAAGGGGAGGGGGTCCGCGCTAATCGACTCTGGCGCCCACATAAGGACTGGCCACGGACAGGAGGAGAGGACAGGGAAGTAGGGGGGAACTGGGGTAGGGGGCGAGGGGACCCACTGCTGCCTTGTCCCAGAGACAGGTTACCCCTGGCAGCCTCAGCCCAAGTCCTAGAGCCGCACCTCGCCCATCGCCGACGCTGCTCCCCGGTATCCCTCCCATTCTCTGCCCCCAGCGGGGAGGGCTCTGCTCCTTCCTCTTCTCTCTTCTGCGGACCCCCTTCCTCTACTTGAGTCCTGGAAGGGGCTGCTACCCACTCCCACTGCAGACATCGCGACCCCACGCACACCCCTTCCCCGCGGTGGCCCCCTCGCGTGTCCCCTCTTCCGCGTGGTCGTGGTCCTCCCGCGCCCCCTCCCCGCCCGGGCCGCGGCTCCTGATTGTCCAAACGCAATTCTCGAGTCTCTGGCTCCGGCCGAGAGTTGAGTCTGGACGTCCCGAGCCGCCGCCCCCAGACCTCGAGGGGAGAGCGGGTCGGAGGGCGCAGAGGGACACAGCGAGGCCCGGGTGGCGAGGGGGATCCCGGGCACTCGGGATCTGGCTGCCTTCGCAGGACTTGAGGCCTGAGGGACAGAGGATCTTTGGAAGACTTTCCCCGGGACCCCCAGACCGGAGGGTGCGAAGCTGTGCGGGTGGTGGGGGCCGCCAGAGGCCGCGGAGTGGGGGGAGCGGGCTCTCTCTCGAGAGTGTCCCCTCCCGGGTCCGGCGACCCCAAGCTCCGCCCTCCAGAGCG